ATGCCCACTCAAGTGACAACTACATGTATGTGTGTTGAAGGTGTGGATTGTTCACATGCTCGCGCGTGTGTGTTTCAGGGATTCCCTGATCCTTTATCAACGTAATATATTGCTCTAATTTACTAAATGTCTAAACCTCATTAGATGTATTAAACGCAGTCCAATTTCAGCAAGGTATATCTTGAAAATTTTTTCAGTCTATTAACCATGTAAAACAAACTGTCAATACGTTACATTTGCTACATTTTAAAAACTAATTTTCTCACGATACAAGGTATATTTAATTTAATACGTATTAAATTAGCAACCACCACATAATCGTCAAATGATTTGCGATGACGGTCATATGGGTCATTTCGTAAATGATATTTTATTTATAGCGACTAGTCTAGAGTGATAGCAAATTATCACTATTAGTGCAGTGTGTTCGATGTCATCTTGTTAAATAATAGGTAACAGGCTATTATTTTTTAGAGAAGTATATCTCTGCTCGGACTTCCTGTGTTTGAACTTTGAGGTCAGATACAAGACAAAATAAAGGAATTCGATTTTGATTGGCTGAACAAGCGTGGAAATGATAGAGATATAGAAAAGGGTTTTCAGGTTGTTGGTCAATGTAGACGCGTTCTTTCGTCTCTAGATCTGCACACCAGTGGAGTGAGAAAGCTACCCCACTGGATATTTAGAAATGCACGTCGACGTGTCTAATAAACTAGTTAAGATTTAAATTCCCTTCGTTGAAGTTCTTTCATCTGTGTCCAAAACAACTAGAGGTTACCGGCTGCGAGAGAAGAATGCAAGTTTATTATTGAGCGATAGCCGTTGGCCCAAGAGACGTCCACCAAGGGGCTATACAACACCCTAAACTAAATAAATCACTCTATCAAATCAAAACATTTTGTTTATTGTTCCAGTTTTTCGTTACACTACACTACATTAATAGCTCTGTGCTCAGTGACTTAAACAGGACCTGCCATGAACACTGCAGTTGCGTTATAAAAACGATCATTTAGTTATTTTTGTAGCTTTATGTTTTGTTTTGTTTTTATTTTATTCCTGATAAAATATTTTAGATGTTAGAATGGCGGATATAAGTATTTAGATTCAGACAATTTTCAGGCATGATTCTAACCCTGGTCTTGACACAGCTGAAATTACATGCAGAATTTGGCGAATAGAATATAAACCAATATCCGAACATAGTACCTGGAATTGGTTTTAGACTGATGAACCGTTTCTTGAAATAAAGTCTAGAAATAGACATTGATTAATGGATTTGTTTTTTTTTTTACGACTTATCAACCTTTTGCAGGTTATTTAAAACCAGAAAATATTTTTTTAGATTATAAGAAGTTTTGAAGGAATAATGATATGCTGATTTAAGTCGCACTAATTAAGACAGAACAGTTGGATTCATGCTTTTTCTAATGGTATTTGAGCATATGTGAATATAACGAACCTGACTGGAATTGGAATCGTCTCTCCGATTTCCGAGATGTTATCCATTACACCACGCGTACATCCAAACTTACAGCACCTGGTATTCCTAAGCGGTTACCCATGACCAAACTCGATGTTGCTTAACTTCGGTGATCGCATGAGAACCAGTATAGATATTTATTAGCTGTCGATTGCAATGTTAAAACACAATGAGCAACATAATCCGACCACCAGCATTCGAATACTTCCAAAAAAGCCAGGATCATCAAAAATACCATATATATTCTTCTTGTTCTTTTGTGCCTGTTCCTTTATGTGCCTTATACCTTAAAGATTTGCATAATTATGCCTCTTCACAGTTTCCTGTCGTTTGCTGCTCTGACATTGCATAAGCTTCATAAAAATTCAGGAGATTAAATAATGAAAATACTTTTGATACACCTTAATAATTAACATAGCGCATTTAAAACAATTTTTGTATCTGCACTTAACTCATCGTCCGCTGTAGAATCCAACATTAATTATAAATATTAATGTACAACCTATTATTCCAAACGAGTATAAATATAACTTATAAAAATTTAGGCAAAGTATTAAGGAACAGGACAATTTCGTTAGTGTTGTAACCTAGGGAGGTTACTGAATAGAATAATCAAACAAAGGTTGGTAATAAACGATAATACTTAGGACGAGAACAACACATATAAGATTCGTCCACAGCTAGAAGTGAATCAAGTCCATTCCACAATAAATCTCCAACTGCAGGATATCTACCACCGCCCCATACCGTCAGATATGGCACAAGGCCAAATTTAATGTGGGGTATCCGAGCCCGTAGGCCCGGCTAAAAATTTCCTGCAGACCCCGTGTAAAATGGGGTCGGGTAGCTGTTTCCCGAGACGAGACTCTGCCCTTCGACATAGCCTCGTCTGGGGAACCTCTCTGCCCGGAGGCAGAGAGTTTAACCAGCAGACGAATCTCCAACTGCAGGATATCTACCAACCGCCCCATGCGGTCAGATGTGGCACAAGGCCGAATTTAATGCCGGGTATCCAAGCCCGTAGGCTCGGCTAAAATTCCTCGTAGATCGGGTAGCTGTTTCCCGAAACGAGACTGCTCTTCGACATAGCCTCGTACGGGGATCCTCTCTGCCGACAGTTTGACCAGCACAGCTGGGGACGAATCTTCAACTGCAGACCAACATATTTACTACTGTATTTATGTTAATGGGGACATACTCATTATCGTTCGTGGGTATGCTACAAGAGTTAGACACAAAGAAAAGAGTACTGGACCGTCATGTAGTATCAATCTACTTATGTTGCAGTGAATACTGGAAAATTTCCTCACAGGTGAGAAAGACTTGAGACTGCAGAAATGTGTTTCTGCAGAAGGTTGTTGTGTATGCCATGTACTTAACAAGTAAACAGTGTCGTTTTTACAGAAAATTTAATCAAAAAGGACACTTATACTTAACATCAGAAAGAGGCACTTGAAATTTCTAGGCCACATAATGAGAAAAGAGGACTTAGAAAATTTAACACTGACAGGACATATTAAAGGCAAGAGGTACAGAGTAAAACATCGCATAACTTGCCTAATGAGCTTGTGTAAATGATTGATAGAACAGAGATTAGGAGGGACTGCGAAAAGACACAATTTACCAAGAACTAGAAATGACAGGATATGTGGAGAGCTATGATCGCCCACATCCGGAAGAGACACGGATCATAGATGAAGAATATTAGTATTTTCAAATATATTCCTGAAGAAAATGTCATCCACAACTCATAAGTGCCTTGAATTAAATAAAACGTCGTGTAAACCAGACAATGAAAAATAAAATATTGTTTTATTGCTTGTTTTACGACATTAGTGTCATTTGGAAAGGCTCAAAGCCACTTGTATCATAATCAGTCATCCCGATGTCATGTGTTTAATCAGTGACATAAAACATTTTATATTCAAGCATTAAATTTCCACCTATCCCCAGTAGCATATTTATTAAAATCATGTTCCAACAAGAGTGCTAAAAAAAGTGCTTAATCCATCCTAGAATTGGAATTGGTATCAGGGGGAGTGAACTGGTCAGGAAAAATAATTCAAAGCTATCTAAAAAATCTCATTTGTGGATGGGGTGGGTGTATAGGTTGTGAAACCGAAGAACCGAGTTCGAATTTATGTCGAGATCATGCATTCACTTTCGCACAAATGCCATCGTTGGGTCAAATAGTAAGGTATACAGAACACTCTAGCCATGGTATAGAAAAAAGACTGATTTTAACATGGGTGCACATACTTGAACCGTAATTAATATTCGCCCAATATAGTTGCTGTATAAACCTCCGTTTGGCGTTACGGGCATTGAAGAAACACAAATGGGTCTGAACTGATGGGCACGTTAGAGATGAGAAATAACACTGATTTGCAGGAGTGTCTTCAAGCCGAATCAGCTCTGCTGATGGCGTCCTGTTTTTCGGAAGGACTTATTAACGATAATTCGCTAAGATGTTTCACTTGTACAATTTATTCATCGTTTACTGTTTCCTCTTTGCTTGACTCTACACACTTTGTTACGAATGGTCGAAACAGCGGAAGGCGTCAAAGAATTCATCAAGGGCGCCACTGCGTGGGAGAACTGATAACTAACAAGTCTAACTGATTCTCCTACCTGTTTAGTAAGTTAGAGCTTCACTGGGAGTTCCAAAATTGTGCTCTTGTGTAAAACTAAGATTAAATTATTAAATATATCGAAGGAGTTCAGAAATAAGATATTGTGAAAAGAAGTACTTTTTAGAAAAGACAAATTGAAAAGCTAGGCTAAGAAAAGAGAAATTTACATCAAATTATGTAGGGATGTTAGCAAGCAGTAAGTTACTTTCACGACTGTCCGCATCTTGTCTCCATATAATTTTACACATTATTGTTAGAAATGCTAAAGTCAATTTTAACAGGACATCTATGGCAAAGTATTTGTAAAAATAACCAGAACCAATTATTTCGATTCTGCATTCTTAAGTTGAAAAGAACTTTATTTTTGTCAAACATACGCCTAAAAAAAAAGATAATTTCGTCTTTGTAAGCGAAAGACATTACTTTCTTTCTGCTAGATATCTCTTTCAGGGGGCGATGAACTCATATAGGCAGACATATGAGTAAATATTTAATAATCTCCAGAAATAATTACATTGATGAGTGAACATGATTTGTTTTTTCTTTCTTTCTTATAATTCTTTCTTATCACATTTTGGCTAAAATAGCCATACCCCCTAGAAGCTTGGGAAGTTTTTGATTGAATGTTTTAGCCAATCTAGTTATGAAACTGACCAATGGCGTGAAGGTGAGGCTAGGGTGATAATTGGTATTGACTAGTCAATGGCATTGGCGTTTAAGCTACGCTGGAAGTGACATGAAAAGGGCAGAATTTAGTTGAAAATAGCATCAAGTCCGCTGATGCATTTTGCAGAAGCTATTTTATATGCAACTTAATTAGTTGAAATATACCTTAAAGGGGAAGAACTATGGGATATTGGGGTGTTGAATAAAGGTCATATTAACACCAGAATTAAATGAGATAGAGTGAAAGTGAACAAGTGAGAGAGAGTAGAATGAAGAGAAAATGGAGGAAACAGAGACAGTGGAGTAGAAAGAAAGAAATAATCTAACAAGGAAGAAAATAATAAAAAAAAATAAATAAGTAAAATTATTCAAAACGAAATAGATAAAATGAAAGAAAGAAAGAAAGAAAGAAAGAAAGAAAGAATAAAACGATTAAAGAACGAAATAAGTAAAAAGGATGATAAAAAGAAAGAAAGAATATAACAAGGAAAAGAAAAGAAAGATTAAAGAACGAAATAAGTAGAAGGGATGATAAAAAAAAGAAAGAATATAATAAGGAAGGGAAAAGAAAGAGTAAAGAACAAAATAAGTAAGTAAAGAAAGAAAGAAAGAAAGAAAGAATATAATAAGGAAGAGAAAAGAAAGAGTAAAGAACAAAATAAGTAAGTAAAGAAAGAAAGAAAGAAAGAAAGAAAGAATATAATAAGGAAGAGAAAAGAAAGAGTAAAGAACAAAATAAGTAAGTAAAGAAAGAAATAAAGAAAGAAGAGAAGTTAACAAAGAAGAAAAATGTATTAGAAGAGAAACATGTAGAGAGTAATACGTAAAATGAATAATAAAGTAGAGGAAATGAAAAATGAAGAAAGAAAAATGAAAAAAGTAAAAGAAAAAAAAAAAAAGAAAAAAGAAATATCGGGGGAAAATAAAGAGCAAGAAAAAGAGAATAAATGAGATTAAATAAATGAGAATGAAAGTAACTTACAGTGGAAAAAGAGAAAAGAAAAGAATTAAATTATGAAAAGCTTGAGAAAGCGAAACAGAAAAAAAAATCTAATAAAACAGAGAAAGGGGAAAAATGAGAAATGAATTAGAACATATAGGAATGCAGGAATAGAGAATTCAATTTCAAACATAATGAATAAAATTCAGAAGGAAAGAAAGAACAAACAGAGCATTAAGAACGAAAGGTAAAAACAAAGACGAAATTTTAGAAAGATGTTGTAAAAGAAAGATACAAATGCCTAAAAAAAAAAAGCAAAAGACAAGCAAACAAAAACTGGGTAGGAACATGAAAGATAAGACAGTAAAATGACAAAATAAATAAATAAAAGAATTAAGGCCAATGAAAATGAACAAAACATTTTGGTTCATGTAGACCACCATCCAGCTTGTCTTGCAAGATGGTCATGCACATTCCCTCCAGCCAGAACGATTCTTTAAATGGCGGGCAGGGGCGAAAGGAATCATTTGATGGCAGTCCTATTTCTGCCTTGTTCAACCTCCGTATATGTCTAAAAAGGCCATTCTCTGAACGCCACAGGAACCAGATTTCAAGATGATCTTGTGGAATTTGATCGATCTGCATAATGATTTTACCTTTTACCCCGACCTCTTTCTTTATTCTTCACTTTTTTTTTCATTCATTTTATTTCGTAATTCCTTCCTTTTTCTGATTTCATGATTTTTATTTTTTTTTTTTTTTTTTTTTTGTTTCTTTTGTTTGTTTTTCTTCACTCAAGACATTTGCTCAGTATGAATCAATCTTGAAATTCTCTGAACGCAAAAAGCTCCGAGGTAGTCCTGAAGCGGTCTTCTTACATATGCCATAAGACGTCTCAGTTGGATTACCGGGCGAGCAAAAATTAGTAATTGTCAGACAATAGAATCAAATGCTATTACAGGAATGACAGTACGGACAGTCACTCGTTTTTTTTTTTTTAACACGTCATCAAAATGTCTTAATGTTAGGCTGCCAATAGATTAAGAAGGAAAAGTGTATGTTTTCTTCCTCCTTTTTCATTTAATACAATATTTATCCGTGAATTTAGATTTACCTTCGTTTTTTTTAATATAGTTCTTATTTATTTCTTTCCTTTTTTACATGTAATTCGGTTTCTTTTTTCTTTCTTTCTTTCTAGCTGTCTTTCTTTATTTCTTTTGCTATTTTTTTTTGTTTTCTTCCTTCTTCTTCACTTTACTCCTTTCGTTTAGACTTTCTTTATTTCTCTATATATTGCATGTCTTTAATGGATAGCTTTCCCTTACTGTTTTTCATCGTTCTCTATATTATTAACAATATTTTTCAGTGATCTTTGGCATTTTCCTTGCTTTAATGTTCTTCGTTTTACAATATCTGGACTGACCTGAAAAAGTATGTGAATGTTCCACAATTCCATTAAAAATCATATCAAAGTACTGAATCCACTTGTAACAGTATTTAATATTAATGTATCATGATTAAAGGTGTTTTTTACACACAAAACCCTTCAAACCTCTATAAACTTTAATAAATAAATAAATTGTACAGTTGCCATAAACCGTAATTTTAACATCCACTATGCAAGGATGACACATATGTGATACCTATCATTATATATGATACTTATTATATGATATATGATATTGTCTGATATATGATACATGATATATGATATATGCAAGAGTGACACATATATGACACCTATTATTATATATGATACTTATTATTAATTCTTGTAATTTCTCTGAATTAGGGCTTTTTTAAATACAAAACATAAATAATGGCGGCGACCCTTTGTCTCTCTTTCTGCTTCTTTCCTCAATTTCTTTATCTTTCTACTGATTTGGTTATTTAGATAAATTTATAGACTCCAGAGACTAAGTATTTAGTAATCAAATCCTAATCATTTTTCTTTAGTAACATATATATACATAAATATATATACATATATATATATATAAATATATATATATATATATATATATATATATATATATATATATATATATATATGTGTGTGTGTGTGTGTGTGTGGGGGGGTGTTTGGGTGCGTCTGTGTTTGTGCGTGTGTGTGTGAAGTCATAATATTTACATTTTAAATGCGATTTTATATTGCTCTTTGAGCGCATTTTTACAAAGTCAACTGAAACGAGCTTACATTCCATATATGGAGCGATGAAAATTTCTCAGCACAACAAAGAAAGTAATTGTATAGGGAAGAGGGTAAGATCCATAATTTTTCAGCACAATCTTATATATATATATATATATATATATATATATATATATATATATATATATATTCTTGTATCGAACCATTTTAAATTAATGTTATGAACGTTTGAATTTATATTCTTTTCGTTCTTTTACATTCGTTTTACATTTGATATATATATATATATATATATACATATATATATATATATATATACACATATATATATATATATATATATATATATATATATATATATATATATGTATATATGTATGTATTAATACATGGGCCTCAGTATTGAATGTTATATCAGACGTATGATAAATTTATTAAGGGACACGTTTTTGTTTGTGTTTCCTCTTCTTCCTTTTTTTCTTTTATTTTCTGACGAGAAAAATCCTGTCTCGCCTGAGAAATGACGGGAAAGAATCTATGTCACTTGTTAACTAGACAGATTAATCTTCCAAGGGAGTAAGTAGAAGTCACTCACCAAACCTCTCCTGACATGCGATACCAAGTGTGTTTTTCTGAATTGTAATTTCAGTTTTCCAATAATCTCTGACAAAGACTGGTTGCGAGTAAATCTACTCTCATCATGCGCTCATGAGAGATATGTCTATGAACTTATTCTATCATTTGTTGTGTAAGGAATGAAGAGATATCATTCCTGAATTTATCCAACTACTTGATGTGTAGAGAATAAAAGAATATTATACCCGGAGAAATCATCCCAATGTTATCGTGGATGTAATTAGATAACCAGAGGAGAAAAGAAGTACACGTACCATTTCGAAGTAATCCAGCGCGTATTGCGGAAAGAAGAACAACCGATTTGGATATTTTAAAAAGATTCTGTCTATTTGCCATTATGAACATTTGAACTTACAGATTCATGAAACACGAATGCTTGAACTGACACCCAGTATAAGATGACTTTTATTGATTTCACGTCCGCTATCTCATGCGCTTTTCATATTCTTTTGCTTTTGTTATATAGGCTCTACTTATGTATTGAGTACTTTTTTCAAAGAATTAAAAAAAAAATACTAAAGACCTTTGGATTATTAACGTAACTGTTCTTCCCTATTTTTCTATATATATTACACACACACACGCGCGTGCGCGCACACACGCACGCACGCGCGCGCACACGCACGCACGCGCGCACACACACATGTATATATATATATATATATATAATTATTTATTCGAAAATAATAACATAAATATGTTATAAAATCACTACAAAAATAGCCATTTTGTTTCAACACTCCTGGTGTCTTTTCAAACGATGGTGTTGATATATATATATATATTTATGTGTGTGTGTTTGTGTACGTTGTTTCACGCTATACTCCAATCAAATACACTGTAACTACAAGCAAGATGTTCATATTGTTTTTTGTTGATTTTATTTAAAATGGCAGGTTGAGTATTTCAAAACATTATTAATAATACAAAAATATAAATTAATTTACCTTCTTACATATTCTTAACGTTAAATTTTAAATTGATTATAAAAGAGCTCCTATCATGCACATTTTCCAAAACTTCACAACTATCAATTACATTAATTATTTGCCTTTGCAATTCACCCCTGGTGATGTTCTTGGATGAGACTGAAAGTACTTGGGAAAAGAAAAGAAATAACCAAAACTGTGACGTCTTTCTTAATCAGTTTTGTAACAACACTAAGAAGTTTATCCGTGAATTTGAAAGGATTAAAATGAAAATAAATATACGTTATGTCTAGATCATATATATATATATATATATATATATATATATATATATATTATAGGTGTGCTATATCTATGGAATAAAGTGGTCAATATCAGAAATAAAGCGTGTGTAAATATAAAAGTGAACATTGATGCCAACACTTAGAGGCGACAGACGCAATCGTCAGGCCATATATATATATATATATATATATAAAATGAAATAGCTCACTTATCTTTAGTCAGTTTCACAGTTTTTTCCATCAATTTCTCAACAGATATTTTTGGCTGAACTAAGTTTTACAGATCGCAAAAACAAAATTATATGTATAAACATAAAAATAACGTTTTCTGCCTGACAACCGTATACCGGGTAAACAGTTATGGAGGTAAACAAAAACTTTAGCAAAACTGTTAAAGAATCGAAATATGCCTAATTGACTAAAATAATGGATGCAATCTCATAGCAATATTTTGAAAACTTCACCTCAGGCCTAAATTGAATAATCCAATCAACCGTTTAATTAAAGTGTTACTATTTTATCTACCGTTAATTGTAATTTGATTGCTTATTAAAGGCAGATCAGGTACAATAATAGGCTAGGTTATCTTTAAATATATTATTATTAATTATATTATCATCTATTATTTAAAGAAGATATTATTATTAGTTATTATTCTTAGGTTTTCTTTGATTTCATTTTTCACCAACGTAATTTTCAGTTATTGTACGTGTGTGTATTAATTTCATTAAATCAGTTCGTTATATTCCCCCAGGACTATGTGCCTGGTAAACGGTTGTCAAGCCTTCCAACACATTTTTTATAAAGAAAGGAAGTTTTTATATTTGATATTAATTTTTTTTTTAACATTTGTTTAATATGCTTATATTTACACGTAGGTTTCGTATACTTTGTTCCGGATTTTTAAAAAAAAATTTTTCTGTATTCGTCCAAGTAATATACATATTTATAAACACTAAAAGAGACAGGGTGCCAAAAGTATTATTAGTATTATAACATTTTCATTAGTATTATTAAAAGCTTCATGAAAATTTTGTAGTATCAAATTATTATATATATATATATATATATATATATATATATATATATATATATATATATATATATATATATATATATATTTATAATTATATATATATATATATAATTATATAATTTATATATATATATATATATATATATATATATATATATATATATATATATATATATATATATATATATATATATATATATATATATATATATATATATTCAGTTGTATGGACATGAGTTTGTATTATTATAAAACAATCTCATACATATATATATATATGTTTGTATTATTATAGATATATATATATATATAT